CGGGTTACGTTCCTCTTCTTGAGTAGTCTTCAAGACCCCTTCCTGCTGGATGATGGTGGAGTATACGCGATTCAGTGGTGGCAAGGGTTCTGTGGCGATGATGTTAGATCGTAGACTCCCATATCCTTCGTTATCCAATCCCATTAGAAATTGGTGAACCTTTTCTTTGTCGCGTTGGATGGCAAGCGCTTTGCTTATCCCACACTTGCATCCATGGCACTTGCAAGCGGGGATTTTTTCATGATCGCCGAGTTCGTCCCATATGGTTTTTAATTTTCCAAAGTACGTAACGATGGACTGACCGTTTTGCTTGCAATTTGCAAGTTCCTTCTTTAGTTGATGAATTCGAGGACCGTTTGCAACAGAGAAACGATCTTGGATGTCCTTCCATAGTTCTGCTGCTTCTTCTACCTGTGTGATGGAGTTTCTCAGGCTGCCATCAATTGTGTTGTAAATCCATGAGACCAACATGGCATTCACAATCCACCATTCTTCATAGTTTTCATCTCCTTCTTCTGGACAAGGGATGGATCCGTCGATGAATCCAATTTTCCGTTTTGCACGGAATGCAATTCTCATTGCACGAGCCCATTCTTCATAATTATCACCGTTTAGTTTGACTTGGGTGATAATTAATCCAGGTGTGTCTGCGTTCTTGAGTTCGTAAGAACTTCCCTTCGTAGGGATTTTTTCTTCCTCATCGAAAAGCTTGCCGACGAGATTTTCTTCTACTTCTGCCATGTCGACGGTCGAGGAGGATAGTCCGGCGGTCGATGTCGGTGATCCGGCGGAAGACAGGCTTGAACCGGCGGAGGACGGTGATGGACCGTCATATGTCTAGATTAGGGTTTTTCCCTAGGAATCTTGCTCTGATACCATGAAGAAAATAATAAGAGGGAAAATATTCTGTATATTGAATTGTTCTGCTAAGTACAAGGAGTTTCTCCTTTATTTATAGGAGAGGATAAAGACCAAAACACAAAAGGAATTCTATTCCTACAAGGAAACAAATCACTAAATATGAACAAGGAAACAAATTAAGAGCAATCCCACTTAGAATGGGATTTGCTCTCCTTCTTGCCGTGTGGTCCAAGGAGCACCGCCCAACAAATTTCATCGAGCAATGCAATAAATATAGTCACGGCTGGTGAAAACATATGACGGATTGATGGTTTTACCATTAAAAGAGGGGGCAATGAGTTACGATGGTGGGACTCGATATGGAATCCTTCCCACTAATTTTTTTGAAATATTCGATAGAATTTGAAGAGATATCGGTCTCTTCCGACATATGCTATCGTGAAGACAACCTACGAGCTATCATGAAGACAATCTACGAGAGATTAGTAGAATTATTTACCAAAAGGTGGACATACAGATTTACCTGACTACAAGCACGGTTTAAGTTCCCAAAATAAGTTTGAAGCGAGGCGAGACGGATGGAAGACAATCATTTACAGTGTCATGTTATCCCTCATCATCTGCAATAAGGAATTTACCATGTCACTATTGAGGGCAATGTTGGGGCTGCCGGTAGAGAAGATGGAATTATCATGCATTTGGGCCAACATATATGTAGTTGAGGGAAATGGGCCATGTTGCACATGCCTTGTGTCAACATCTATGTCGTATGCCATTATTGTAGCATAACAATTGATGTTCTCATTCCATCGGTGTTCTCAGCTCGCTACAGAGCTACCTGAATGTATACTCTAGAAGTTTTATGTGAGTGCCAAATGAAATAGAATGACCTCATCTTAGTTACGAATTAGTGCAACCAACTACAAGACAGAGGTCACAAGCCAATCGTCTCGTGAGCACTCGTTTCAAAAAGGTATCATTAATTCGCAGAGCATAGGAGTGCACAAAATAATCCTACAAATTAAGCCTTTGCATACATTACTAGGTATAGTAGTACTTCCTTCGTCTATTAATTTCTTTCTCACTTTCCTTTTTAGGTTGTCTAAAAAACCCATTTCTTATTTTGACAAAAAAGCTATTAATGAATGTACCATGATACCTCTATTTTTCTCTACATTATTTACTTTATTCAATCACATCAAGAGCAAAACATGTAAAATCCTTATATTTTTAACTTTTCTTAATCTTTATGCCAAGTTAAAACGGGAAAGAAATTTTTGGAAGGAGGAAGTATTATTTATGAGACCAAAGGTAAAGTTATCTTGAACAACAAGTCTAAATATTAAATTATTTCGCTCAAACTAAACAAAAAAAAAGTATTGACATACACATCAACATTCCATTATTGAATTAACATAGGCACATTCTATGCAACTACTAAAACGTACAACAATATTGTATATAGATTTATTTTAAGGAAAAATTGACAAGAATATTCTGAAAAATACAACAGATTTGATAATTAACACCCTTGCTACCAACTTTCTTATATTTGAACGTCATTACTCCCCACTTGCCCGGTCAGCAACTAAGTGAAAAAAGAATCGACTTGTATTTTTAGTTTTTTTAAATTTAAGTTTATTAAAAATGATATTCCTAAGTCTTTTAATAATTTAAAAAACTAAATTTTATCTTACTATATTTTTATAAAGGTAGTTACTCAATTTGCATCATTTTCAATTATATAATTTTATTTTATTTAACTCCACAAAAAATCAAACCCGAATATTAACTTATAGGAGTATTAATAAACTTTTTAAATTTAGGAGGGAAATTCAACGCAAAAAATTAGAATTACGAAGGGGATGAGAAATGCAAAAAAAGAATATTCAAAACACAAGTCAAGGTTTTCTCCATGTAGGAGTTGACCAGACAAGTGGGGTAACGACATGAAAAATTTAAAAGGTTGATGACAATGAGATTAATTATCAAATCTGAGTATTTTCGTGAAAAGTCATGTTTTTGGGAGTATTCGTGTGAACTTTTCCTTATTTTAAACACGAAACTATTGAATTACTATTTACCATTGAAAATTGCACAATTATGTATGAAATAATTGTGAAATATTGCATAGAATGGGTTGATAACAAAATTATTTTATACAGACCTGTCAACGGTTGGATTATGTGGGCACTATTCTGCAAGAATAATAATGCATGCTTCTTCACATTGAACATATATTTCCAAAATGTACCTCAAGATGAGGAGCCAAACAATTCCGTTTGGGTGGTCGAAAATCACTTGATTTTGGAAGCAACCACCCAAAGAGCCAACCATTCTCAATATGTGTAACATGCTATAAGGGGAAAAACTGAAGCCAATGAATCCAAAGTAAAGTGAGAATTGTTACACAATATATAGTATCCACAGTTGCTTGTTTTCAGCCATAATAGACAATGGGGATTTCTTCTTCTTCTTCTTCTTTTTACTTGTAAGGCGCGAACAAGATGGAAGAGTTTTGACCGCCAAATCCGAAGGAGTTGGACAGGGCCACCTTAATATCCAGTTGTTCCTTTTTAGAGCCCACAAGAAACTTGGTGTCCTGTTTTGTTTAATGTTAATGACACATTTAATAATTAAAACATGCAGTGCCCAAACTTAACTAATCTTGAAACCTGATCTCATGCATTAGTAACATGGCACTAGAGGGAAATAGAGGTTGAGAAGGAACTAAGGAAACGGGGGAGAGTCGTACCACCCCTTTATCCGGGTTATCCAGATTGATGTTCGGATGAATCCACCCGGTCCGAATTGCCTGCAAGTAATCAAACATCAGAAACTGAATTTGTTCAGCAAGAAACAATGCAGCAGTTTCCTCACAAAAAGAGCACATATTATTATCCTCATTAGCTCTCGTTCATTACTGTCAATTAGTAAGGCTGATTTTTGGCAAAACAAGGCGACAATCAAGCCTGTATATATGGCGAGCTAATTAGAAAATTCTGAAAATAAGAAGTTCAAAAGGTACGTAATCATCAGTCAAAAGTTGGTGAAACTTGATTGAAAAGCGACTTGAAACCCTTGCAGAATACCATCATTCGTATCCTTTAAGCTCCCAAGCAAACAGAGCTAACATGAAAAGCTGTTCTTAATAAAAAAAAGCTAATACTTAACATGAATTTTAGTTAATGGTTTGGCAAACATGGTATAGTGATAAGCTAGTTGATACACCAAATGATAGTGGATACTTTAGTTTGTAACTTACAGCTTATAGTCTATCAAAAACACTTAAAGATTATAACCCATACTGCATTCTCTCTTTGAATATTTGGTAAAGAGCATAATTGATGAGTAAGTTTAACCAATGCAGTAAAATCCCACAGTGTGGTTTAATGATACATTTAACATAATTTAACCATATATAAAATGGATTAAAATAGGAACCTGAACAGTCGCTACAGCCTCTACTGCACCAGCTGCCCCCAGAAGATGACCAGTCATCGATTTTGTAGCGTTTATCCGTAACTGCAAGAAAGAAAATTGAACAGTTGCAAATATTTAGCTTCTGTGAGAAAGTTCTTTTTGCAAATGAAGAAGAAAAAAAACCCAAAGAGAAGATCAATAGACTGAAAATCTAATAATTACCCGACCTCCGAGTTCTGACCAAGACACTGAAGAAGGGCTTGAAGCTCCTTGAGATCACCAGCTTGGGTAGACGTAGCGTGCGCATTTATATAGTTGATGTCATCTCTGCACACCCCAGATTGAGCTATGGCTTTCTCAACACATAGGGCAACACCCTTTCCTGCATTAAGATTTAAGACACCTCTTGTTTCATGATTGAGGCGCCTAAAAGTTTGTCCGAATGTCCTTAGAATGTTGAAAAGCACTTTCGGATGGACAAATGCACTTTTACCGTGAAAAGTAAAAAAAAGGCACACCCAAACAAACCCTCCACTAATGAGTCAGTGTCAATTGATTGAGGTTATTGTTGGTCTTGATAATATTTCAAAAATCACTCATTTGTAAAACAATTTGATTATTAGTGGAGGGCTTGTTTGGGTAAATTTCATATATGATGATAACCTTCTGGATGAGGTTCTGTCATGTGATGTGCATCAGAAGAGAAACTCCCACCGAGAAATTCAGCGTAGATCGTTGCGCCCCTTTTCTGCTCATTCAAATAAGGAAAGTGAAAATGGGAGTAAGAAAATACTAAAAATAAGATTGTTGGAGAAACTATACCTTCGCATGCTCGAGTTCTTCCAACAGCAGAACACCAGCTCCTTCCCCCAGCACAAACCCATCACGATCCTGTCAAATATCAATATGCAAAGTAGACATTTGTAATTAAAAGAGAATCAAAATACAATGGGAGAAAACGCCGTGGATTGGCCTGTGATAAAAACTGAACTGCTCTCAAGAAATAAAAAACCGAAGACACAGAAAAGAAAACGAAAGAGATGAATATACACTGTCCCAAGGTCTTGAAGCTCTAGTAGGATCATTGTTTCTCTGAGACAGTGCTTTGCAAGCAATAAATCCACCCACTCCTGCAATAGTCTAATGTGAGGTACAACTAACCATACCTAGCAAAATCAGTATATAATTGTAAAATGAAAAAGGACAGTTACCAGGTGGTATAATTACTGAATCAGATGCACCGCAAAGCATCACATCCTGCAAACATTAGGGCATTAAAAATAAACATCATATAATTCAATCCTTTACAATATTTCCATTGGCTTCAAAAGCATTATAATTAGCAGTGAATGTTATATCCTACGTATACTTACAGCTTCACCTTTGATGATGTGGTTAGCAGCATTAAGAATACAAAAGTTACCCGTCGCACATGCAGTCGAAATTGAATAGTTTGGACCCATCCATCCCTGGATATAAAATTATAATATTAACACTTAAAAGATGCACTTATTGCAAGTAGAATAATAACATAAAAAAGAGTAAATTATAGCTACCAAATCAATAGATAGTATGGCAGAACCCATGTTTGTAACTGAAAACGGTACACAAAAGGGATTCATCTTCTTATAGGAGACCTGTAATGCCTCTATTGCATCACTGAAAATCTGCATGCAGGAATGAGTACAAAATTGTATTTTTCAAATACTCTATATTCAACTGGATATCCATAAATATATTAGTAAGAGTAACTTGAAGAGAATTACCCTCATTCCACCCATTGCAGAGCCAATCAAAATTCCACACCTTGTTTTATCGAATTCACCCATCACATCATCTGTAACTCCACCATCCAACAATGCCTTCTTTCCCGCTACCAGCAAGAAAAGCATAAACCTATCCAATCTATTAGCAAGTTTTGGTGCAACCAAACCATCTGTAGAGAAAGACTTGATTTCTCCAGCAATTCTCTGCATAAGAAACAAATTGTGATCAGCATCATACTAAGCTCTCTGTGGGAAGAGTTGTAAGGAACAGATCTCACTGTTGAATATTCTGAAGGATCAAAAGCTTCAATCTCGCTAATGCCGCTAACACCTTCAAGTAGATTTCCATAAAACTCATCGGGTTCGTGACCAACAGGAGATACAACACCCAAACCAGTCACAACAACTCGCCTTTCTTTGATAGAAGGCTTCTCCTTCTTGACAACATCATTTGCATGATGTGTAGCAGAGGCCAATACCCTCCCTGGACCACATAAGTGTTGACATTGTCAATTTTTGCTTAATGTGATTGCAATTTGCCTTACACTATGTTTGGTTCAAGGAAAAGAATATGATTTTTTTCATATTTCCTTACCAAATCGAGAGGAATTTGGTTTTCTAACCTCTTACTATATTTTGTCTTCTCATTTTATTTTCCTCGCTAACCAAACAAGAAAAATTGTTTTCCACTTCTTTTTCTTTTCTTTTCCCTTTCATATTCCTTAAACCAAACATAGTGTTAAGGTTCTTCATAGAAATCGTATGAGGCATGCAAATTCAACAAAAAAAACATATAAAGGGAATCTGACAATGATATTATAACAATTAATTTCCTACTATACCTAAAGTTAACTCCAAAATAACCTGCTTCAACAATAATAAAGGTGTAACTTTTATCATATCATAAACAAAAAGAATTAGAACCCCCACTCACCCCTCCCATACTCCCCTCCAAAAAACATATTTTTTCCTGACAATCTGAGTTCTGATACTTAAGATGTTCAGTGTAAGAAGTTATACTTATACGGAGTACCATACAACCATCTTTTGATAAATTTCAAAGCACCTGAAATAAAACGGAGAAATAATTATAATAATCATAACCCAGAGAAAGAAGAGAAGCCATTACCATGATATTTGGAATTGGAAGCCCTGGTCGGCCACAACCCAGAGCTAATAATGGGATTTACAGCCGCCGTGGGGAACCACATCCTCCTTCTCCCAACACTCCCACCCCGCCGGGAATCATCAAACGCCGACCTGCATCCCGGATTCCAGGAATGAGAAGAACACCCGAAAAGCTTCCCCGCAGAGTACTTTTCACAACCAGCTGGCGTGCATGCACCCACCAACCACGACGACAACGCCGACGATCCCATCCTCTCCCTCAGCCTCCGACTCTGCCGGACGAGTGGGCCCTCACTCTCTACTCTGCGTGCGTCGGCGGGAGCGTGAAATTGAATGTATATATCGTATACAGATGCAGGGGAAATCTGCGAACAGAGCAATGAGGCGGGGGAGGGGAAATGGGGTTTGAGAGGCGTGCGTAGATCAAGTGGATTGAAGAAGATGAAGAAGCGTTGTGGGAATGGCATGCATTGCTACAATTATAAATTATGATACTCCGTATGAAAGAGAGGAGAAGAGACGAAGAAGCCGAAGTGTTGCTTCTTTGATTGATTGGGTGCCTGGATCTCCTACCCCAAAAGTGCTTTTTTTTTGTTCTTTTGGAGTAAGAACAACAAAAGTTGCTAGGGTGAAAATTTGAAAAGTACTCAAATGGCATCGAAAATTCCATATAAATCGATGAAATTGAAGTGAAAAATATCACTAAAATATCGAACTGAATGTTCGATTCATTATTTGAGATTGGTACGAGGTAACTTTATATACCGAAAATATCAAACCATGCAGGTTAAAAGATATGATTTGTTCTTTATTACTATACTAATTTGTAAGTATAGTAATAAAGAACAAATCATATCTATATATATATATATATCTATATATACATATATACATACATGTATATACATACATATATATATATATATATATATATATCTGTATACGATATATACATTCAATTTCACGCTCCCGCCGACGCACGCAGAGTAGAGAGTGAGGGCCCACTCGTCTGGCAGAGTCGGAGGCTGAGGGAGAGGATGGGATCGTCGGCGTTGTCGTCGTGGTTGGTGGGTGCATGCACGTCAGCTGGTTGTGAAAAGTACTTTGCGGAAAGGTAAATATGTTATGTGCTGATTTGGTTAAAAGTTTCACTTTACATTCTTGTTAGATGAGTACCGTCAGTACCAAAAGCGTGTCAAGTGTTGACCCCAATAGGACTTTCGTGCTCGGTAAGAGACGAAAAAACAGGAAGAAGATATACGAATCCAACGAGCGCTACCAGTGTGCGCATTGTAAAGCAAGGGTAACAAAACTAAAGATCTGGAAACGCCAGAAAGCGGCGAGGGAAAGAGATGACCCTGAGGAAACATTCAGCGTGGACTCTGTTAATAGTAACTGCGGCGGAGGTGTGGGTATTCTTCCAGTGGAGTCAGCCCGACTAGACTAGTGGGTTACCTGCTAACTTATGGCATAGTCAAGGTTGTAATCGATGCAACATTTTGTCCCACTTGTCTGAACCAAATAAGTTCCTTGAATGAAATCAGTCGATTTCTCTTTAATCTATTATTCCCTTGTATGCTCCACAAAACAAAGTTTTGGGTAACACACTATCTCCCTAAACACGTGAGGGGTGACTTGAGGAGAATTTCGGGGATGAAATTCCTTTAAGGGGGAGATAATTCTAACACCCCACAAATCGGCCTAATAGCTAGCCAATATTTTAAATAAATAAATATTATTTATTTATTGAGACTCATTATTTTAAATAATAAATATTGAGATTTCGATCTCATTAAATGGACTTCCAAAGTTAATGTATTTTAATAGCGGGCCTCTCAACATTAATTAATTAAATAAATTAATTAATTATTATGATGGATCTAGAAGTTTGAAAATAAAATTTTGGGAAAAATGTTTCAAAGATATCATAAATTTAGTTTTGACTGTTTATTTTCGAAAACGCAATCGGTTCTCGATTTGGATCAGTTCGGGAGAAAAACCGCGTACCGTTCAAGTCACACTTTACACAATGGAGTGGGATTTAGGGAGGTAACTCCCTAATTAAAACCACACACCACTCCCTCACCATCTCCTTACCATTTATTCCCTCTTTATTTCCCATTTGAATATAATAGTCTCTCCCCTCTTCCATTTCCTCCATCATTTGTAACCCCCACACCATCAACACACTCTAAACCCTCCCTCTTCTCTTTGTATTTCGGCCCAGCAGCCACACCACGGAGGAGAGGAAGAGGAAGAAAAGGAAGGAGGTGCTGATTTTTGGAAGCAAAATCCCGTCAGTCCACTTTGGGCAGTATTTCGACCATCTTCAACTCACTCTTTAGTCGTGATTTCTTGACCAAAGTTGTAGCCCTGCAAGTTGGTGAACCACATCCGCAAATGGTTTGTCAATCGTACGAGTAACGAAGGCGATACGGCCGTTTTACCAAAACTGGTCCAGTGGCGACGGAAAACGCAAGGTTTGCAACTTCCGCCACCATTCTCGTTCCGTCCCGTCCAATCTGCTATTCATTTGGTGCGTTCCAACTCTTCACAAACCCTATAACATATTCGCAAAAAGAAACGAAACTCAAGAGGCCGTTTGGAAGTCGGAAGGTAAACGGTTTGACGACCGTTCGTTGACGCTATTGATTCGTTCAGTCCGTTCTAACGTTGTGTCATATTCGAGGTATGTACACCCTAGATATAACGGAGGAATCTTTAATATATTTATATGCAAATATGTTTGTGGTTTATATGGTTATTTGTATATAAATTCATATCATGTAATATTCTTGATCTATTAAGTTCTGTAGAGAACAACGAGGATTAGTAACCATTATGAAATTGAATGATTATACAAGGCTAAACGGATGTTTGACTCAAACGTAAAGATATATGGTATGACACTTGTTAAAAGAAATCACCTATCAATCCGTTGGCATGAATAGGTACTACATATATGGATATATTGTAATCTTGGATGTTCATTATAATTCTCAAAAGGTTGAACGTAATTCGACAGACCAAAGTAGAACCCGAGTACTGTGATAATAAATTGTCAAGTTCTGATAATCTACTATCAGGTGCCGCTGAACTTTGATAAGCTAGCTTCTCACCAATTGACAATCGATTATTGGAGGCTGCTGAAGATTTGATAATCAATTATCACCAAGTGACAATCGATTATCAAAGGCTACTGAACTTTGATGATTGATTATCACCAAGTGATAATCGATTATTAGGGGCTGCTGAACTTTTAAAAAGATCCAAAATCAAAGTATTTTCAAGGTAAGAATCAATAATTGAAATATGGATTAAAAACCGAGACTTAGCTTTCAAAATAAGTCTTCAAGATTATAAGTCAAGCATGCTCACTTAAATCCAAAGGTAGTATACCATTCATAACATCATATCATCATCCTAGACGCATGTCGTAGGATCATGGCATACCATTGCATATCGCGTCAATAGATCAGGCCTAGTGCGCCTCTTCAGCACGCCCGTCCAGGAGCCTTCGGGATCCAAAGGGTTTCATCAAGAGGGCTTGTGTACGTACATGGTAACTAGTCATTTAGTTACCACCCACAGTTTCTAGGCTCCTTTCAGAGACTAAGGCATTCCTCGGCTCATCACCGCGTGGGGATGATCACTGAAGGGCATCATGAATCATTTGGCATTGCATCGTTTGTAAGTAATTATACAGATCTAAATTATCAATTTGTATGTGGTTTTGCAAAACATATTGTACTTCATATTCAACATCGTCGATGACAAGGCCAAGGTATTTATATTTGGATAATATTCCAAAATGAATCTCCATGATATGTATATGTGTATCTTGTATCCTGTGCTATCTACTATGCAAGCATTGAAATCATGTGGCCAATGTGATGCATGGTATTTAAGTATAAATATGTTATCGATATCTCGCGTTATCGTACCACTCAGCTTCATGCTGAGCGTGTAGTCTTTTTATCTACACGTAGGTTGAAGCACAGGTTATGTGAGCCACCCGGAGGATAAAGAGACGATAGGATGACAGGTTGACATGCATGATTTTCACAAGTATTGCATTTGACACTACTACAAAATATAGATTACACAGCGGATAAATACGGGTTTTCCCATCGCAAAAAAGCCGCTGTCTATGCAACCGATGGGAAAGCCTTCATGTTTACACAACGAAAATTTACCCGCTGTGTAAAGTTTACACATCACATATTTATTCGATGTGTAAACATGATGGCTTTCCCATCGGCTGCATAAACAGCGGCTACTTTGCACTTTACACAACGGGCAAATATCTGTTGTGTAAACTTTACACATCAGATAAATATCTGTTGTGTAAACATGAGAGCTTTCCCATCGGTTGCATGGACAACGATTGTTTTTCAATGGGAAAAGCTGTATGTATACAATGTGTAAAATTGGTAACTAGATAAATACATATATATTAAAAACATTATTTATTAAAACTGAAAATCAAATACAACGTGGGGGTGGCCCAAACCCCTACATCAAGGCCTCTACAGAAAACATATACAGAACATATATACAGAGTATAAGAATCCCAATTAGTTGCAAGTTTAGCCTACCTAGATTCCTATAATACAAATGAAAGCCTTAGCATAAACTGAACAAATGAAAAATCATGCTATCATGCACTCCTTAAACGTTCAATCAAAGCTTGCTCCAATTGAAACTCTTCAACCTTTCTACGAAATAGTTGACATCTTTGATCTGGTTCTTTGGAGTGTGCAGGAGGAGCTGACGGTATTAGCAGTCCCACAACGAACGTTATATCCTTTGTTATGCCATTCACAAAATTTTTAGATAATTAAAGCATTCCATTTAAGACAACCAAGCTAATGTATTAGGTATTACTGGACATCATATAAAAAGCCATTGCAAAGACAAAAGCAATAGTATAAATCCAGTGATAACACCCAAAATCCTTTTAACTATTAAAAAGAAAACTCAAATACCAAGAAACAAAAGCCGTAGTAGATTTAAAATTAAATGATCTCACTTTCTATATTCTAACAGCAAACTCAAGGCATCAAAGTTAAACACTTCAGTAGCATGTGGAACTTAAACAAAGAAACTAGCGACATGAACTAGCATTATCCTTAGACCAGCGGAGTCAAATACATCAAAGACATACTCAAACCATCATGGACAAAAAACCAAAGTCAAAGACATGCTAGCAAATAGACCAACAAATATAACCTGCCATACCTTATAACTAGCCATTCATAAACCAATTCCATAGACTCATCCAACGTTCAAGCCTTCTCAATCATAAGCCAAAATAAACATAAATCATGAAAAGTCATAAGCCAACAAGAGCAAAATTAAAAGTCACCATGTCAATGTTAGTTAAAAGCTAGCTCAATTAGGATCTGTAGTTCTCTCATAACTTTTTTGATAATCTCTTTGAAGCCTACTGCCATTTTTTGCATAATTTACTATCAAATACCCCGGAGTAAGTAACTTCTACATGTTTTTATATAAATATCAGCTAATTCAGCCAAACTCGAATGGTTACTATCACATTATGAATGTCGCTCACCTGCTGCTTTGGTTTGTGCATGATTGGACTAGAATGCAGAACACTTGTGAACTCAATGATTTCTCTCACCCACCTATAAAGAGTCAAGAGCTCAGTTTTACTTGGAAAAAGAAATAAATAATATGAACCAGACACATAAGTATACTCATAAACTCTTCACAATTCTTGTATCACATTAGTATACAATGTACTTATAACTAATATGCACAAAACGATTCAAAAATGACACAGTTTGAACAAGCATAAGTTTATTTTATAAGAAGTCAATATTGATGTCAAAGGCTATTAACTATGTGCTTTTAAACACTGACTGATATTTACAAATACTTAAAACTCTACTCTTGACTTATATCAATCATACATGTCAGGCAACACATTTTTTAGGGTAACACTAATGTCTTAACAAACCTTGATTATGCCCAGGATTTGATTGCGTCATAATTTGCTTTAAAAATTTCTTTGAGCCATTTTTACAAACACTTAGTGTGCAAATTTTGGAGCTTTGACCTAGATTTATTCACATGTACTCAATACTCAATACTCAAATTTTGGATGCTTTTGGATGGCTCACCATTCAATGTTCCATTCGTTGAGTTCATTGGAGCATTTCATCAAACAAATGGTACTCAACTCTGGAATGTGTAAACTGCGAAATAGAATGGGAACAAGCCAGCAATCTCACTCTGCATTCTGATCTTCATCTTGTGGTAATCACAGTGTGATTTCTCCAGCGTCTTAAGCTCCTCCAGTTTATCCCTCCTCCGTTCCTTAGTTTCCAGCGGGCACAAATCGCTCATCTTCTTGGCGTTCTCTTCTTCCACCTTGACACCTTCCCACTCTGAAGTCTGAACCATAGCCATCCTCCTGATGCTTTCTGCTTCCCACCGTGCTTCGTCTGCCTTCTTCTCAAACATACACGCCTCTGCTTCTTTAATCCGCACCAAAATATAGCGGATTCGATAGAACTTACTGAGAAGGTTTTTTTATGGTCGAAATTGGGGAAGTTTAGACAGCACATAAAAATAAAACCGCAGTATAAAACCATTAAAAAAATTCAGCCGACCGGGCACACATTCTCGCACTCAGAAATAATTTTTTTGAATCTTTTCCCAGTGGTTTTGCACTCATCCGCTGGGTAATAGGCGATGTGTAATCACTATTATGTAGTAGTGTGAAGTTTTGGGCTTGACCCACGTCATTGTATTTGTGTTATTTAAGTTTTCCGCTATCTCCGACATTTTGCAAAAGAATCGATCCGAATTTAGTATTTTGTATTTGAAGTTTTATTTAATGATTTGGAAAAGTTTTAAAAATATTTCTCCCGTTTTACCTTAATTCTTATAATTCCAGGTTATACGAATTGGGGTGTTACAATATGTGTGTGTGTGTGTATGTATATATATATACATACATACATACATATATATATATATATATATATATAGATTTTGGATCATGTAAGAATGCAATCTTATGAAAGAAATAAGAATGAATCTGGTGCTTTAGATTGTGAGATTTAAGGGTCAGGATTGCATCAAAATTTGGTGCACCAAAATGATTTAAAAATGCATCATGTCGAAATGCATCAAAATCCTTTAAAAATGCACCATCTCAAAATCTGAGTGCAGGATGCAATCTGAGCCGCACGATGCATCAGATTCAAAGGCTAGATTTTATTCTTATTTCTTTCACCAAGGTGCATTCTCACCTGAACCGCCCCCTATATATATATATATATATGACTTAATAATGACCAAGTGGGAGGAATAATGTCTAGTAATGATGGACATTTACTTAAATAATGACTACTTCATAATGACCAAAGGTCCTACATTGGGAAATAAAAACATATGGTCATATATTAGGAAAGTCATTATGTTTTAGTCCTATTTAGTTAAATTTCTATATATATATATATATGTATATATATATATATATATATATATATATATATTAAAGATAACAGTCATTTTATATTTTTAATTAAATGCTCCATAATAAGTTTATTTTTAAAATTTGGTTCAGATTTTATCATGTACACATTGTACATTTATTTGAGTTTCAATTTTTTATAGATGAATTTAAAAATATTAACACACATTTGAATTTGTAATCATCCATTTACTTTAACTTGTGAAACCCATTTGATCTACAAAGTATACTTTTTTAGAGAAAGTATTAAAATAATAAATAAAATACTAAATTTATATTAAAAAAAACCATTCCAATTAATGATAATTCTAGGCCTAATACAGGGTATCATTTATTTTATTATCAAATCTTATGCTATTTTATATGGGGAGACTCAAATAGAAGACGTAGTGATAGAAGTACATGAGTTATTGAACTTTTGGTGTAATATTACAATTTTCCTACTTAGGCTCAATTTTTTTCAATTGGAAAAACTAACTTCCAACTTTATCCAACTCTTTGGAGTTTGTTCAAATTCTTTCTACTTTTTCCAACTTCTTCCAGTTTCTTCCAAGAACTTAAAAAAATGTATTTACATATGATGACTATACATTAACATTACATATATAAATTTATACTCCCTCCGTCCCATAAAGTGTTACCCATTTTGACTAAAGTAGAAATTAAGGAAGGAATAATTTTGTGTTGACTTTCCAAAAATACCCTTGATGTGATGGGTAAAAGTAGGATGTGATGTGTGGATTATTAGGAAAAAGGTATTATGTGATAGGTAGGGTTTGAAAAAGTAAGGGGTAAAAGTGGTTTTTTAATAGAAATGGGTAGGAGATTGTGGGACACAATTTTTTTGAAAGGTGTAAATCTTTTTGGGACGGATGGAGTAACATAATATCTCAAATACGGATAAAGACAAATTCTTTTAGATATCCAAAATTAGTTTTCTTACATGTTTATTATAGCGATCATTTAATTGAGTGATTTTTTAACACCTTATTTTTTCTAACAGTTCCGAACTCTTTCCAATTTTTTCCAATCTCTTCCAGTTTATTCCAACTCCGTCGTGTTTCTTTAAACTTTTTCAAATTTCTTCTAACATTCCACTTTAAAATTTCAACTGAAAAGAACAAAACCTAAATTATTCCATATCCTTTTCAACAAAACACCAGAAGTTTATAAAAAAGTAAACTCCCTCTATCTCTATTCTCTACCTCATTTCTTTGTACGAGTTTAAATAAGTGTTAAAAAGAAAAACAAAGTGCTTAGAATTTGATGAGAGAGAAAATTTATTTGGGCTACATAATTCTTTTAAGGAAAAGAGATATTATTAGCTTGGGGAAAATGATTATTCCGCCAATTTTTTTTCTAAGAGCCCATTATTTAAAAATGATTTTCTAAAAAGTCATTCCCTTTTAAGAAATCTCCCGTGATAGGAGTACGTAAAAATTTCAAAAATACCAAAATATGAATTTTAAGTCTTTTGAGATCAAAATAGGAGTATAATAACTATAAGGTGTAAAAGTACGCGTTGTCAGTGATATCAATGTAATACGTCAATATGATTGGCCAACCGTCTGCGATCTGTGGCGGCACTTAGGTGACTGACAACGATAAATGGAAGTGTGGTTGTGATAGGGTGGCAGTTACATTGTGACAATGTGGTGAATATAGTAGTGTAACAATGACAGTGGGAACTCTTATTTTTGCTTTAAAAGACTATGGCCTTGTTTGGAATTTAGCGGTTGGCGGTTGGCTGATAGTTGTTCGTGTTGGCTAGTTTGAACAATTGGTTGAGTTGGCTGCTTTGACCAATTGATTATGTTGGCTATTGATAAAAAATTGTTTGGCAAACTTAGCTTCTTCAAATAACTTTTATAAATTTGTTAAATATATTATTTTATATTTGATAGGTTCCTTTGTATAGAGTTTCCTTATTTATATCCTTCCATAGTTAGGAGACTTATGTTTTTGTATATATACGGGGCTTGACTCCAACCCACGGCCCAGCCCCTACCCCCCTCCACCTCACCCACGGCCCAACCCCACTCACCCAAACCCACGGCCCAACCTACTCCCTCATCCACAATACCCACGGCACAACCCATTTCCCACTCCACATCACCCACGGCCCACTCACCAAATATACGGCCTACCCCTCCTCAACCCAACACCGAAGCNCGCTACCCCCTACCTATCGTAGTGCACTTAAGGACCAAAACTGGTATGATGCTATGTGTGATGAATTTAATGCTTTGATTAAAAACGATACATGGGAACTTGTACCCCCCTCCCCCACACAAAATGTCATTACCGGTAAGTGGCTCTTCCGCCACAAATTTGGCCCCACAGGTGATCTGTCTAGGTATAAAGCTCGGTGGGTGGTTCGTGGATTCAATCAGCGCTTCGGCATCGATTACGAGGAGACATTCAGTCCGGTCGTCAAACCGGCCACAGTTTGTATTGTCCTCAGCCTTGCACTTTCACGGGGGTGGTCGATTCATCAATTGGATGTGAAGAATGCTTTCCTTCATGCCACACTTCAGGAGACAGTATATGCCAGTCAGCCATCCGGCTTTCAGGATCCTGCGAGACCCCATTATGTTTGCAGGTTGAAGAAGGCATGGCCTTAAGCAGGCTCCCCGTTCTTGGTATCATCGCTTCGCAGGCTTTCTCTTGACTTTGGGTTTCCGTGGCTGCAAGAGCGATACATCCCTCTTTGTCTATACTCGAGGGAGTGACATGGCACATCTGTTGCTCTATGTAGATGATATTGTACTCACTGCCTCCTCATCATCCTTACTCCAGCGCCTCACTCAGCAACTAGAGGGGGAATTCGCCATGACAGATATGGGTGATCTCAATTTCTTCCTCGGGATTAATGTTCAGCATACACCGGAGGGACTCTTTCTCCATCAGACTTAGTTTGCTCACGAGATCTTGGAACGTGCGGACATGCTCAATTGCAAGGCCATCTCCACTCCAGTTGACACAAAGGCAAAACTCGGGGCCTCCTCTGGCACACCTCTGTCTGACCCTACCTTATACAGGTCCATCGTTGGGGCATTACAGTACCTCACTTTCACACGGCCGGATCTCACCTATGCCGTACAACAGCTATGTCTCCACCTTCATGCCCCCCGCAGCACTCATCTCACTGCCATGAAGCGTGCCTCCGCTACTTGCACGGCACCACCACTCATGGGATCACTCTCCATCGCACGCGTACAGATTCGTTACAGGCATACTCTGATGCGGTTTGGGCAGGATGCCCCGACACGCGTCGTTCCACCTCGGGCTATTGTGTTTTCCTTGGCGACAACCTCATATCTTGGTCCTCAAAGAGACAGGCCACCACATCCCGCTCGAGTGCTGAGGCCGAATATCGAGCAGTTGCAAACGCCGTGGCTGAGGCAAGTTGGGTCCGAAACCTTCTCCTCGAGTTACAGCAACCTCTGCGTCGTACCACACTAGTCTTCTGTGACAACGTCAATGCCGTGTACCTATCGACCAACCCGGTTCAGCATCAGCGCACAAAGCATGTAGAGGTTGATATACATTTTGTCAGGGACAAGGTTGCTCTAAGGCAGGTCTGTGTTCTCCATGTTCCTTCTTCCTCGCAGTACGCCGACATATTCACCAAAGGACTACCTTCTCTTCTCTTCTCCGATTTCAGACACAGTCTCGGCATTCGCCCGTCGCCGGTCACGTAGTTGGTAGCATGTTAAATATATTATTGTATATTTAATGTCTTTATATTTGGTAGGTTCCTTTGTATAGGGTTTCCTTGTTTATATCCTTCCATAGTTAGGAGACTTATGTTTTTGTATATATACGGGGCTTGACTCCACAAGATGAATAGAGAAAACAATTCTTCTTCAAAATTTAATTTAATGAAACTTTCACCAATATAATTATATGGTATAACATGATTTGCAATATATATATATATATATATATATATATATATATATATATATATATATATATATATATATATATAGGTTCTGGTGAGAATGCAATCTTAGGAGAGAAATGAGAATGAATATGGTGCTTTAGATTGTGAGATCTAAGGGTCAAGATTTCATCAAAATTAGATGCACCAAAATGGTGCGAAAATGCATCACATCAAAATGCACCATAAACCTTCAAAAATGCACAATCTCAAAATCTGAGCGCAGGATGCAATCTGAGCCG